GGGGCCGGTGTCCCCCCGCGCCCTGCCGGAGGGCGCTGCCGCGCCGTCCGCGCCGGGCGCCGCAGTAAGGCGGCGATCGGGGGAGCGGCGTACGGAAGCCCGGCGAGGCGAGGTGGGTCTCGGCACCCTCCTCGGTGCTGGGCGAGGCGCTGGGTCTCGGCACCCTCCTCGGTGCTGCTGTCGAGCAGCGCTTTGTCTGGCGTTTCCCCCCTTTCTCTTCTTTTTCCCTTTTTTTAAAATATAGTTGTTTTTACGTGGAAGCGTGCGGTGTTTCCTCTCTTTAAAATCCATGTGGGTTCTGTCGCCGGTAACCGGGAAGGGTCTAACACCGGATCGCACACTCTCTTACATGCTCAATCCACACAGGTGTGCACTTTCATCAGTTTTCAGCTGCACGATGTCACTGATACTTGTCCCTGGGTTAATTTTAGCTATCGCTCTAAAGCACCGCATTTCTTTTTCCACTCAAAAGCGCTTCTGTCATAACCCTTGACAATACCTCTTGTTCGAGGAGTGCGATACCATCCGGTAAAGCTTTATACATTTAACATTCCTTTTATATGTGAGTAGAATGAGTAACCGCTTTTCCTTGCCCATTTCTTTGTAGGGAGAAGCAGAACTTTTAACCGTCTTCCCACGGCATCTGACTTTTTTGAGGAGGAGGTAAGGTTAATGTCATGTAAAATTACCCTCTTTTTCTGATGTTCTACTAGTCTTGCTTCTGTAGGCGTACATTTTGGAAACTGTGGTGAGTTCATGCATACTTTCATGCATTGCAACACAATACCAGAGCTGATTAAGAAACGGTAGCAATAGGACTCTTACTATCAGGATTGTAAGTGTCTGTCAAACCGACATTCTCACTATGTTATGCCACTATTATATTCTTTGCAGTTTTAAAAGAACTGTAGATAATTCTTCAAGGTACTGAAACATTTAGTTTATAGTTCTATTGCTGTGGTTGTCACCTTTATATCAAATTTGAGACTCATTTCTTAAGGATGTCTCTATTTTCTGCTTTATTTGCACGTTGATAGCTCTACTGAATGACTAGTCACAGCAACTTTTTCCTCCGATAGAAGCATATTAAGATGTGAAAGCCTTAGACTAAGCTGCTTTGCAGGACTTTTCAGCTCTTTGATTAAAGGGAAATAAGTCTGTTTCAAGAGTCTTGTTTATGTAGTTCTATCAGTTCTATTAACAAATGTGTGGCTTGAGGATACATTTGCTGCTTCTCTTCCTTTTTACTGAAGGTACGTACATTTGGAGGTATGGATAAGTTCTTGGTATCAGGTCTTTGTCTGCTTTGCAGCTGCCAGTGAAATTATATAAGTGCAAGTTGGTATTAAAATTCTGTACTTGATATATTTTTGTCATAATTTCTTGGAAGCTAAACCGTTAATGCAATAGAAGAAACATTTACCGTTCAATTTTTACTTAACGATGGGTAGGATTTACAGGTTGGCTGTGCGCTCTTCGCTTTATTTAAATTAAGGCGTGTGAATTTAAATTCAGCTTGTATAAATAAATAATTAAAGTCACTATTTTTGTAGCCTTCAATCTGATGGGCTGGTCCTGCAAAGCTGTTTAAAATGGTCTTCGCTTACTTTAGTAGTCGGACTCCAGTAGGGTTTTTGACATGAGGGGAACTTGGATTGGAGATGACTGCACAAAATGTGGTGACCCAAAATGTAGCAATATTTGAACTTGCATATTTGTTTTTCTACGCTGGTTTCATTTGCATAATTTCATTTAGGGTGGGTAAACATATGTGGTACAGTGTAAAATAGCTTAATAAATTAGTGCATGAATGTATAATAGGGATCAGCTGTGAATATTTTCTATCCGGGAGGGGAAAAAGAGGCAGGGTGATCTTGAAAATAACAGCAAACTATATTTTAAAAGTACAACCATTGGTAGGCTCTAACTGTAAGTGGTTTGGTTGCAGGTGGCTTGTAGTGGATGGAGTTAAACTTGGGTATCTTGGATATGATACACCTTAATGTAACTAATAGCTACTTTCTGTTGAAACTTTAAAATCTAACAATCCTGCTTTTATTGCAGTCTTTAAAGATCTAATTGTTCTTGTGTGTGTCTGAGATGTAAAACTTACTGCAAGGAGAGGCAACAGATTGGTTCCGTCATAGGATTTTGTTGGGGTTTTTTTGAGAGTACTTAAAAGATTATGATGGATAATGCTGTCTTGCCAAAGAATGCCGACACAGGTGTTCATCATTATCTTAATTAAGATCCTGAGAAAATGTCATCTTTCGGCATGAATTATGAAGGGAGATGCATTAGGAGATCATTTCAACTTTTTTTTTCTTTTTACAGGGGTAGATGAGAAGGAGGCTGTTTTCTGAAAACCTTTTTGATATTTCTTTATCAGAATACCTGACCTTAGACACTTACTGAATAATTTGTTTCTCCACTTCAATTTGTGAATATATTACCAAGAGATCTGTATGTGTTGTTAAAGGGAATCCTCTTAAAAAAAGAAACCAACAAAAATAATAAATAATAATCCCCCTCCCAGATACTCTGTTCTGTTTAAAGCTGTCCCTATAAACAAAATACTGAGACTCAGAGGGCAGTGGAAATTGCTGCTGGAAACATCTGCTAAGAGATGTTTTATACAGTGTATTTAGAAGTATTAACAACTCATACTAATAATAGAGCAAAATAAATATATGTGAATATTTATCTTTCTAATAAAGCATGAAGAGAAAAAGATTTCCTTTTCTCACCTTTCCACTACCGTGGAAGTAAAACTAATTAGCGTGCAAAGAGGAGGGAGGGGCTTGTGTTTTTCTATGTTAAATCAATACATTATTAGCTGAGCAAGAGCTAACACAATGCATCTAAAATATTGGCTGAAGCATCGGCAGTAAAACTTAGGGGTGCTTTCCTGCAGATCTTACTTGTGTGAGTGTTGCTGCTGGCTTCCCTCAGATGAAGTGCTGGGAGTTACAGGGACTTCCACTTGCAGTGGAAGAGGGGCTTGTGTTTTTCTATGTTAAATCAATACATTATTAGCTGAGCAAGAGCTAACACAATGCATCTAAAATATTGGCTGAAGCATCGGCAGTAAAACTTAGGGGTGCTTTCCTGCAGATCTTACTTGTGTGAGTGTTGCTGCTGGCTTCCCTCAGATGAAGTGCTGGGAGTTACAGGGACTGCCACTTGCAGTGGAAGTGCCGGTGTCTGGTGGCTCTTAGCCTAGGTGAATGATCTCGGGAAGAGTTCTGCAAGACCCCCTTCACTTCTCTGTTGCTTCTTCTGCCTGCACTTACTTTGCCCGAGACTCTACTTGTCTACATGTTAGCACTCTCTGTGTTTGCACTCTGAGTCCGAGGTGTAAACTTGCGAACACCTAGAATAACTCTTCTTTTCTGTGTCCAGCAATTGGGTGTTAGGTAGCTTGGATAGACTTTTGTTTTTCTCAGCAAGCCTTTCTATGTAAAAACACTTTTTGTCTGCTAAAAGAAACCTGATTAACAGTCTCAGTCCTTTTTTAAATTGCATCAGCAAACCCGTTTAGTATGTGGAATAAAACCATACACAGAAGTGCAGCTGGCAAGCCTTTTAAGCACGTACTTATTGTATTGAACGTGTAACTCCAAAGATCTTGACGGTATCATGGGAGAACCTGAAACTGTATTTCAGTTTCCTTGAAGTTTCCTGTAATTAACTTAAATAGCGCGATTTGCTTGAATTTGTTGACATAATATGGACTAAGTTAAGAATGTCTTTAGGGTTTATTTTGCTTACAGTTCCGTGGGCATATGCAGAAAACAGACTCTCCTAATGGTTGACTTCTGTGGAAAAAATTAAAAACTGCTCTCTTTCATGTCTAAACAAGTTTTTCACTTAAAGCAAGCCACATCTACTGTTAGTTGGCTCCTTATTGTGAAAGAGGAGCACCTCAGTGGGAAGGATGGCTGTGGCTCCCCATGCCGTTTTATGGGACGTGCATGTGCCCATAGCTTTCTGTATGGTGGCAAATTCCCGTTTGACCGCAGGTGCGGCAGCATGGTGGGAGCTCCCGTAGCTGGAATCTGGCCACCAGCGTGGGTGTTAGAGGTGGGTGACTTCTAATAGCAGTGTCATGTTCAAAAGGGTTTGTGTTTTATCTAGTTTACTTACATCTGTTTGCAGTCCTTATGACCAGTATTTGTGAGAGCTCAGCATTACCTCTCTGAGGAGGAATGTAAAGCCAGGTAGCCTTTCTAGCCTTACACCCAAAAAATTATTTTTAACAGTTCATAATTTCTGATTTTTATTAATACTAGAGCTTTTTAGATTCTGTTCCTTAATGCGGATAACGCAGATGCAAATGATTCTTAAAGCTGTTTTCTGCAGATTAAAGTGAATGTGTTTGTAGAGCCAGAATCTTCTTTTTTTTTTTTAATATATAAATCATTGTTTGAGAAAAAAAGCAAGCCAGTCAGACCTTTCAAGGTGAATGCGGATCATCAACAGAGACTTTACTATACTAATAAACTTGTGACTGATCACTCTGCCACTCTTCCCGAAGGAGATGCATCTTCCTGAGCTCTTTTTTTTCCCCAACAGAGCAAAAACTAGCTTTTTCTTTTCATAAGCACTTCTTTTTCACGGTATTTCTCAGCATTTCTATCGCAGATCAAGAACCCAGCGTTTGCCTCTGAAATATTCTCTGCTGACATCTACAGAACTTTTCATGCCCTTCAGATTTAATTTTGTATAGAATAATGCATGGTATAATATGTAGGTCCTCTGTTTTCAATTAAGCTGTATTAGGTAACTATGCTCTTCTTTCATATCCCGTAGCAAAGTATCAATATCCAGATGGCAGTGTGCTGGGATAAAATAGCTACAGGCTTGGCTGCTACTGTAAAGCCAAGAACTAACATTTTAGCCTGTGTGATAAATAAAACCGAGGTTGCAACTCTTTGGTGTATTGGAGTTGCACTAAATAATGCTACAGTGCTGTTTATTACTGGTTTCATTGGATAATATGCAGCTATAAAACCTGCTTGAAGCTTTTATTAAGAATACTCTGTCATTATAAAAAGGTGCCTACAACTTCTTTATGATATTGATGGTGCAAAAATTACTTTGTTTGCCCTGACTTCCTGGCTGTTGTCTAGGGAGGACCTTACCCTCTCTCAGCTTCCGTAGGCATTAGATTCCATGAATGTCTCTTGGGAAGAGGACAGCTCTGTAGAGCCCAGGTTTCAAAAGTTATTTTTAAGGTATTTTTTGCTCTTTGCTTTTTTCTTAAGTTTATTTCAGTGTTTAATTTCTTGCTTCAGTTAAAATTTGGCTGATATTCTCTGTGCTACTGTGTCCCTAAGTAAAACTTAAACCGAGGTCACCCAGATAGCTGTCTGAGAGGAGGCTGCAGAATGGCTGAGAGACTTTTATACTGGCTGAGAAGGTGATGGGAAGACTTGGTAGTAGGGAAGGGACTAGGAGTCTTGAATCCTGGGCTTGTTTTCTCGTTCAGGTTCTGGCACATCCTGTGACCTAGATTTGTTCACGTAACCTCTGTGCCTCTGTTTACCTAACTGGAACTCTCTGCTTTTCTCAGAAATGTTCAGATTTAAATTGGTGTCCATACTCATATAATTTATTAGACTGTTGTGCTTTTGAGCAAAAGCAAGTTATTAATGCTATTACTGATTCATTAGCTAAATGCCATTAAATTTCTGTATTCCACAGATCTTTTGATTTCCATAGGCACCTGTTTATGGTGTGCATCTTAGAAAACGCAGAACTGAACACCATCCAGTGGGATGTGGTACTAACATACTGTCTGTGGGATTTAACAAACATGCTAGATCAATGGGTGAAGAAACCCTTGCATTGCTCAGTCTGTAATCCTTGTTTGTAAGAGAAACCTGCTGTCTAAATTAGTGACAAATACTATCTTTTTGTTCCATTACCCCGTTCTCCATATGTCCATTTTTTGCCTTTATAGAATGCAGCCAAGAGCAGAAGCAGTGAGGTCCACGATGGTGAAAATGAATCCAGCAGTCCGTCCTATCCTGTACCTGCCTGAGTACAGGAAGAGACCTCATACAAAGCCAGAATGCCTCTGGGCTTGCAGCTCTTTTTAACCATATTAAGTCCTATTCAGAGTTAATGGTAAGTAATTTGTTCTGTGTATGTTATGATTCATTAAGTAAGGCATTACAGTAGTGGCACTTCCCTTTGTGGTACTGGGTTCTGTCTCTGACAAAATTGACTACGTCAACTTTAGTCCTGTTTCTGTTAAGAAAATCATGTGGTGCAGATGACAAGCATTGTAATACGTATGCTCTTTTTTTCTTTCTTTTTTGTCTTCTCCAGATGAGCTCAGTGAGACTGGTCTAAGCAATGCCGAAGGGAAGAACAGAGTTGGAAGGCAGGGTCTATTTCAAAGCAGGATTTTTCTTCTTTCCGTAACACCCAAACATGAAGACTTTATAAACTTCATTAGGTAGAGTATTGATAATAGCGTAATATCAGTAATATTGCATGATGTAATATTGCACTGCTTTATTGTTCAGTGATCATGTGGAACTGCGTTAAATAAATGAACATTTAGTGCCTTAAATGAACATTATGAGTGAGAGCAGTAAATCGAGAAGGTGGGTACTAGAGGAAATACTACTAGCTTTTTTTAAGCCAGTGTCTTTTCTTTTTTCAGCTCTTTCTATAACCTGTAGTTCTTTTCTTTCTTGAGAAAGATGGAACGTTCAACTTCTTAACCAGGAACACTTCACAGTCCTCTTAGCTGTTACGGCATCTTAATGCTTTGTCCAGCAGAAAATAGCACTCATAGTGCTGACCCATGAACTCTCCATAAACTGTCTGTAGTGCCATAGCATGTGCTGCTCTTTCTTCTTAGGGCTTCCCTTATTGGAGAGTGGTTGCGAAATGTCTGCTGTGGCACAGCCCTCTGTGACCTCTTGCAGCCAAGGATGGAATTTGTGAATTTTTCTGTCTGGAACTTGTGGGAGCTCCCTCTTGAGCCCCATAGTTCTCCAATATTGCAAGAAAAGATCTGACAGTGCTGTCTGGGAGATGTGACTGACTTAATTATTATTAACATTTATTAAGTGCCTTACAATGGAGGGGGAGAGTCATTGCCTTTATTTTTACAAATAGGAGAACTGGCATGTAGGAAGAATGGATCTCTTCTATCTTCTGTGATTCTTGACCCACCTAATTAGGTGATCGTCACGAGAAATAACAACTTGCCTCAGGGGAATGGCACTGGGGAAAGATGCCGACACGTTCAGCATGGCACACCGCTTCTCCCTCCCAGAATTGCTTAATGCAGTAAGCAGGGTCTTTCCTCTGTGAGTGTCATTTGGTCAGTGAGGAGATTTAAAAGGGCTGATGAGCCTGAGGCTGTCTCTCTACCGGATAGCTTTGTTATAGATCTCATCCAGGGGAAAAAGTGAGGTACTGCAACTAATTTCTAGGAGCTACTCTTGTTTTTAGCGATTACTCACCCTCTGCCTCCTCCCGCTTCCTTTCACAATAGAGTGGCCTTTCCCCAGGATAAGCTGATTCACTTCACGGCTGGTATTTGCAGTTTTCCTGCACTTAGCTAGCCTCTAGGCGGTAACTGTTTCTTCTGGGCTAAGACTTTAGTTTCTTTTTATAATAGTTTATTTTGCTAAGAAAGAGAATCTGTCCAGCTGCTACAAACAATAGTGGTTTTGATGTGTATCAATCAAGAGTTAGAGATGTGTGTTTTCCATGTAGAAGATAGACATTTAAAGCCTGCTTTAAAGGAAGGCAAACCTTGGAGAGGTTTACTTAGATGTACAATGTGCCCTATTCTTTCATTTTTAAAAACAGTATTAAGGTTTTGTTTGGGTTTTTTTTTTTTTTTGCAAGTACAATATGCCCTATTCTTTCATTTTTAAAAACAGTATTAAGGTTTTGTTTGGGTTTTTTTTTTTTTTGCAAGAAAAGAGAAAATAATTTCATCTTTTTGATTGCATTTTTTTTCTTAGTCTCACAGTTGTGAGATAAATATTCAGAAATATGAGTTGGTAAGGTTAATGTGATGAAAATGAATATGTGATAACGGGCTCTGCACATTAAAGATTAAGAGCTCAAATTATGGACTCCAGAGTGAAACACTCCATAAGCATTTGCGAATTTTGTTTGCGCAAGGAATGCGGGCTTAGGCCCACGGTTGCAGTTGCACAATTCCATCCTGTCTGCTGCTTTTTTGTCTTGACTGATCTGCATAGAAGTCTCTCGAACACTGTAGTGTCAGGGTGAAAATGTAGTCTGGGGTGAGATGGGGGGGACAAATGAGGAAATAATTTCAGTCCAAGCATTAGTGTTACTCTATAAAAATAGATTAGTTTTACACAAATGATTCACATTTACAAAGATCAGTTTATAGCATTTTGACTGCACAGTAGTTAATTCTTTATGTATAAATTGATCCTTTATACAAATGTAATTCCATATACAACAGTTAATCTCTTTGAGTGCAAGTTGAAAATATATTATCAATTAATTTATGTAGGTTATGACTTTCTTTCCCCTGTACTCTGCAGTGGTTACCTACACTAAAGTTGAGTCGGTGTGTGCTTAATGAAAATTAGATGTGAAATGTAATATGTAGAGGACAAAGCAGCATTGAAATCCTTATTGCTCTTAAAAAGACAAAGGTACCCCAGACAATTCTCCTTTCTTAATCTCTTGAGAATTTGATGCATAATTCTGTTATGAGCTATTTGGAGTGAATGAAATTGAAATATTTTCAGAAATAGTATTAGTACTAGATATTATTGCTCACCTTTTGTGAAGCCTAGTTTTGTTTTAAAATGCTTTGCGTTCTGAGAGGCTAATGATAGACAATCTTCCATTGAGAAAGAAAAGCATCTTGGACTTCTGTGGAGAGACAAGCCTAGCTGTTATAGCTGTGAAATTTGCTAATGTTGCAACCATTTAAATAAAGTGTTTGTTTACATAACAGCAATGGCATTTCTCCTCCTCTTCCTTGCGGTTTTGTCCAACTAGATGTTATGAGTGGCAGTTGCAGTGACTGCTAAGTGTTTAAATGATGACATCATTATGTGAAGTGATTTTGAAATGAGAGATTCCAGCCAAGAATTACATCTGCTCTCATCTCCTTCAAATCATACTCTCTGGCTGTGCAGATTATGATTGATTTGTTTGTGACAGATTGCAGGAAACAGCCATTGATTTTTCAATATTTTACCTGAAAATTATTTACAGTTGTAACCAAGGGGAGGTATTTCCATGGGCTGTCAGCCCCTGAAAGACTGGGATAATATTCTCTGCTCCCTGACAAGACAAATTACCCGTAATGAGTGCAGTAGCTGAAGGGTATACTTTTATTTTAAAATATGTCAATAACCCCAGTGACTAAACGAATATTGATTCAGCATAATGAAGCCTGAGTAATGTGAAAATGAGCTCTTCAAGGAGCATGGTAAAGACTTTCTTTTTTAGCTTGTAGCAAGAAGCTTTTCATTCTTTACTGTTAGGTAGTTGAAATGTGCAGTCTTAAGCAAGTCATCCTTAAACAGTAGTAATATGTGGAATAATGTAACAAAAGAACTTGGGTTTTTTTCTGTTTTTTTTTAATTTTTTTTCCCAAGTTCTTTTTCTTCAATGTGTTTCAGCAGATCAGACATTTAAAGAGAAAAATGCAAGTTATCCAGGGCAGAGATAGAATTGCTGTTGGTGTTAATGTCTCTTGCAATAATATTCTTCAGCCAGCCTAATGGCATTTTTAAAGTGGATTCTGCATATATGGGCATGGAAATGTATCTAAATAAACTGTAGATTTAATTTCATATTACTGACTTCTTGGACATATTGATGTGTGTTCTATGTGATCGGTCTAATATTCTTGTCCTTTAACAATTTAGAATAGCTGGTTTATGAGAACCTAGCTATACTGTGTTATAAAACTTAGTTACCGTAGCACACATTTTTCTTTCCGGTGCCTTGTAACACTGCATGTTTCTTACCAAATGAGAATTTTCAAGTAGTAATTCATTTAAATTACGGTAATTTATGCAGTGCCATAGGTGTGGTGTGGAAAAGCATCAATTAGATTAATATGGATGTACTTCAATTGTTCGGGGTAAGGATTAGATTAAAGACCATGTTGAGGTACAATTTTTTTAACATTAAAAATATCGAACGCTGAAAAAAATTATCATCTGAAAGGATCAATTTGTCATTTGTATTCGAGGGCATTGTACAACATTAGGAAGGCTCTGCAAGAGCACTGGGTATAAATAGCTGTGTAATCCAGACATGGGCAAAAAGGTATTTTCTTGAGGTGTTTGTGTATAATGTGTCAATTATGAAATAATGTCATAGCCAGAAGCATTTAGTGAGCATGTTTGGGCACGAAGATGACTTTCCTTATTTTCTGAGGACTGACTTCAATTGCATCCAACTAGCTTGTGAAAATCTTCAGAAGGATGTTTTCCTATCAGCACACAGGTGATTTTTCCAAATGTCATTCCTTTAGCACAGCTAGAAAGTATTTCAGGAGGCACTTGAGAACCTGTGGCATTGAGAGTTAAATGGCAACGCTGGAATGTGAGATAGGTTCCTCTTCTTGATTTGTTAATTTTCAGAAAAATGTGATGTACATTTGAGCAGATTACAACTGTAAATAATTGTGGTTTTGAGAGAGTTTGTGCGTAACACCTGGGATTCGCAAAATATTGGAGAATCATTAATGGTGAGGGAGTAATAACCTCAAATATATAGCAGTAACAACAGGAGAATTTGGGGCTCTTGAAAATTAAGGTTCAACTGGTAACATTTAACTGCTCGGTGGTATTTCACACATCCCAAGTTCTCTGCCTGTTCTCTTTGTTTCGGTACCTTTTTGTTTCTTTGGCCAACAGCAGGAGATGGGAAGGGAAGGTCCTCTTTCAGTAGCTTTCCCACAGTAGCGAGGAAGAGGGAGACTGTTCAGGGCTGGGTGCCAGTTCTGATGCAGACTGAAGGGCAAATAAATGTTTGTTTTAACTACATCTCCTTTTCCTGAATAACGCTGTATGAGCTCAGTGGTACCAAACCGAACAAAAGCGGGTACTGCTGGAGGTACTGCTGACAGCGAAACCAAAGTGGGCTCTGCTTGCAAGCCATTGGCTTGTTTCACTTGCACGACGGGTAACATCTCTTGCTTTGCTGCCTTTCCCAAAGACGAGTTTGCTTATTAAATACCGGCCTGCCTGGCATTCTGGTTCAGGCCTGAACTGTGTTCTTGGCACTAATGGCAAATGGTGCATTCTCGGCTGCGGGAAGCTGATGAATGGCTTGCAAGCTTTGTGGGTGATACCAGAGCTTTGTGGTGATGGTACCTTGGAAGCTCTTAACTTTATTCACACATCTCCTTTTAGTGTTAGAACTGCTACAATTGCTAGTCCACTTTCAGGTGACTATGGAGGAGAAAAAAAACCCAGAACAAACACAACCCCAAATCATTAATCAGTTAAAAGTTCTTGCGGCATTCAGGATCTCCTAGGAGCAGAACATAAACCCAATTGCTGTTCAGTTAGGTAAAAGTAAAAGCAGAAAACACTGTGAAATGAAGGTCACGGGTAAGAACAGAGCGATCTCCTTTGTGGCGGAGAAGAGGCTGTTGGTAAATCATGAAGGGCTAATATTTAGGGGTCATATGTCCCTCGACACCTGGGGACTTGCAAATTTTGACGCATTTCAGTTCATTTCAGGCCTGACATGAAGACACTGTTGCAGTATGTGCTTGTAGTGGGAAGGTGGTGCAATGTTAATGGTGTGGGTGTTTTTGTGTTGTGAACAGTTCAGATCTCTATACCTATCTAACTGTCAGATTCCAGTATGAATAAGGTGGCAATCAAAACCAACGTTTGTTTGGTTTTCTTTTTTCTGTTTTCCTATTTATTCCGCCTCTGTGTTCTCTGCTCTACAGATAAACTATGAACTTTTTTTAGTTGATGGAAGGGGTGTGGGAGGGGAGGGCGTCCTAGGAGCAGAACATAAACCCAATTGCTGTTCAGTTAGGTAAAAGTAAAAGCAGAAAACACTGTGAAATGAAGGTCACGGGTAAGAACAGAGCGATCTCCTTTGTGGCGGAGAAGAGGCTGTTGGTAAATCATGAAGGGCTAATATTTAGGGGTCATATGTCCCTCGACACCTGGGGACTTGCAAATTTTGACGCATTTCAGTTCATTTCAGGCCTGACATGAAGACACTGTTGCAGTATGTGCTTGTAGTGGGAAGGTGGTGCAATGTTAATGGTGTGGGTGTTTTTGTGTTGTGAACAGTTCAGATCTCTATACCTATCTAACTGTCAGATTCCAGTATGAATAAGGTGGCAATCAAAACCAACGTTTGTTTGGTTTTCTTTTTTCTGTTTTCCTATTTATTCCGCCTCTGTGTTCTCTGCTCTACAGATAAACTATGAACTTTTTTTAGTTGATGGAAGGGGTGTGGGAGGGGGGAGGTCGTGTAAATGTAGGTGATGGAAATCATGCTTACTGGCTAAGCCTTCCCCCCCCTCAATTTGTTTGTTTGAAATCTAAGAACTAATATGTGGTGGGACCTGGATCAGAGCAGTCCACAAGTGGGCAGACAGCACTATGTAGAATTTGCTAATCTAAATGCCATGGTTGAACCCAATTCTTTGTGCCCTAAATGACACATGTTGAAGTTGTTGTTTCTTTCTTTTTTAATTTATGAACAAATAATTGCTTTTATCAAAAGCAATTCCATATATGCAGAATATTCACATTTTCTTGGAATGACCATATTATGTATTAAAAACTTTCACTAACTTGAGTGCTGATAGTATTGCAGAGTCTTCGGTATGGCGGCATATGGTTTATGGTGAGCTGTTAGAGGGAGATAGCCCTAAAAAAATATGAGGAGGATCCAAGATGCTTTGAGAGTCTTGCCTAACTGCAATGGTTAAAAAGGCATGGCTGACTTAATGCATGAGTGTTGAAATCTGTGTCTGGAATTATGGAGACAAGTTGAGAAACATGAACTGAATTGATTGTTGATTATTTCCCTTTGTAAATGCTGGGAAAAGATGTGTTATGCTTTGCTGTGGCCTTTAAGGAGGGTCCACAGCGTCCTTTTTTTGTTTTGTCTTGTTAACTTATCTTTTAATATGAAGTGTCATTCCCAAAATGAAGTAATGTCCTTGGGCTGGTGGCAACAGCTGGAGTTGCAGAATTCATAAATAATTCAGAGAGGGATAAAGGGTAGGGGATTTTTTTTGTCATTTGAATCTTTATTATGTGCACACATTTCATTTTCGATATGGCATCATTTGAATTCATTCGGTATGATGATTGCACTGACCTGTCATATTTATTTTGATGTCCCTTCGAAGGACCATATGCTCCGTCCTCGGCATGAAAAAGGATGCAAGTTGCTAACTGAAAAGGCAGCTACGTTCCTGTAGGGATGAAGACCCTCGTTTCCCATTGTCGTGTCAGTAGATGTACAGCTGCAGTGCAGTAGAAGAAAGTGTAGTTGTTACGTCAGTGCAGTGCCTAAATGGCAGTGTAGTCTAGCGAAAGGTGGAAAAAAGGGCAAAACCCAGTGTAGTCTAGCGAAAGGTGGAAAAAAGGCCAAAACCCGTTTGCATCAAGGTGTTGTATGGCATTAAAAACTCAGCTGTCACTGAGGGCCAGTTGGTGTGAAGAACCTGGCATGTGGAAGATGGAGAAGATTAAAGCCAGTTAGAAATCTGCCAACGTGGAGGTGTGCCATGGTAGCTTTAATGTGGGAATACAGTTAATTACTTTGTATGTTGGAAGTGGGGTTGCCATGCACACAGCCTTCCACGGATGCACGGCAGTTAGTCTGGTTATGCAAGGCTCAGGTCTTTTTCTTTGACCAATCCATGCCCTCCTTTCCTCTTAAAGAAGCCGCTTGCTTAGCCAAACAAAAATCTTGGATAATGGTTTTTGGGAAAGTGTGCAGTTGTAGTTTTTCCTCTTCGCTAATTCTGTTGTAACCATTGCACCTGGTCCTTCACTTATTTCAGTGGTATGTTTCCGTGAACAAGTGGTGTATTTTCCAGAAGTTACAGAGAAGTCTACCAGTTTCAAGTTCAACCATGTCCCATAAATAATGAACTGCGTGATAATGAGTAATGTCTGATTCCTACTGGCGAATGCACTGGCTGGTGTTAGCAATTCATAGTTGGTGGATAACAGGACCTTGTGGATGTTACCTTTGTATGCACTGCTAACGTGATAGGATGCAACCACTACGGTATTCTCATGGTGTAAGGTGTAATTGCAGCAGCGAGTGGTGATTTGTATGAAGTTGATGGTCCATTGTGCTCATGCCAGTGGCAGAAGGAAGGCAATTAAGTGCAATACAATAACTAGAAGCTATGAATGCGAATGATAACTGTATGCAAAATTGTTTCTTTTCTAGATCCTGCCATCAATGACTGAGCCTCCTTGAAATCTTCTTATCAGTTACTGCCAAGATGAGAAGGATAACAGGAAGGAGGAGTGCTTAAGTGGTTTTAATGACGGTTAATTTCATCTATTTATCAAATGACAGGTTGTTTTTTCCTCAAAACTCGATTGTCATGACAAGATGCTTTTGGAAGTCATCTTTGTAAAATAAAACTGACAATTTTTAGGCTACAAAGAGCTATTGTATCTTTCTATACAATGTTGTCATTATGGTAAACCACTGGAAGGTCTTTATTTTTGAAGTAATTTAACTTGCATACTTCATTAATTTATTTGAATGTCTGTTGAATGCCATGTGAAAAGTTTCTTGCCAGAGTTCTTTTATTCAATGGAATAGTTATTCTTACAATGCTCAATTTATTATTGTCTAAATTACTGTTGCCTTAGCCTCCTGTAAAAATGTTTCTTTTTAGTAATTCTTAAATAAGGAATGAATGAGGTTTTGTCCCCTTCGTGTTTTGATCGGTGTATTTTTCCTTTCAGTGAAAGCATCTTCAGTTTTCAGAATGACACTGTTGCAAAGAAAGGTCCTTTTGCTTTTTTTGCCTTTTTTTTCCCCAACAGAAAATGTCTTTTGTGCAATGATTTTTTTAATATGTACACTGCCAAGACGCAATTACTGGAAGGAGAGACAGAAGCTGTTGGGAATGTCATGTTATGCCAAATTAAGAATTATTAGCTCTTACTTTCTCTGCAATCTCTTCGACTAGAACTCGACCTATTGCGTCTGGCTTATACTTTGACTCTAGTGGAACTAATGCGTCCTTGGAGTAGCATTTTAGAGTAACTTCAGATTCATATTTTTTTCACAAGTCTGCTTTAAACTGCTGGGATTAACTTCAGAGAAGGCAAGAGATACAGCCTCCTTTTGTCAGCAGCTGTGCTGGTTAAGGAAGGAGGCTTCATGCACACTTGCTTGCTCACTCTCTCCCGGAGGTTATCGCCCTTGCTAGGGAAGCAAGCTGAACTGTTTCCCTGAGCCCACCCAGACTTACTTCAGCCAAAGTTAACCATGTTATCAAATACTAGTTAACTAGCACCCTGGGTCATTTTGATGAAGGGGCAGGGAATGCACAGACCAGCTGCACAGGCAGTGTATCTGGGAGGGTGGTGTGTTGACAAGCGGGTTGTTGAGGAGCTGGTGGTGGTGTAGTCTTTTCAGCAGGTGCAGTTACATCTCTAAGATGTGGTAAAAATTGGACGTGTTAGAAAGCTGTGCAGTTCTGTTATGTATAATATTCACATTTCTGGGACATACTGGATAATATAAAATAAACCTGTGCTCTTTGACTTAGTCCTTGTGCGTGCCAGTGTGAGTGGAGAGAGATGGTGTGAGTGTGTGTAGGTGACAGGACACCGATTTCAGGAAAATGTATCTGGTCAAGGTGCGTGAATGGTACAAATGTTTCCATTGTCTAGAGAACACACTGTTGTGCTGTACTCATCAAAGAGGCTGCCTCAACCAACACGTGTCTCAGGAGAACTGTTTTTGACACGAGCTGCCTTTAGCGAAGAGGGGAGAACACCTCCAGCAGGAGAGGCCACCCCATCCGCTGCTGCTTCTCTGTCCGATGTTGCATCAGTAGATGCTGGAGTCTGGTGAGGCATCCAAGCTCTTGATGCTCCCTGTGCCAAAATTAGAACAGTATGGATGATCTCTAGTACTGGAAGGCATACTGAGTAAAAACAGTCCACTAAACAGCTCCTTCAACACTGACCCTTCTTGCGAGAAGGCTGTGGAGTGTAGGTGCCGTCCCACAGACGGCTTGGGCATACAAAGAACTAAGAGGCTTTCTGATCCATCAGAAACCTGAGGGCAGCAACGCTGCTTGCGTCTCCTCTTGGGGCACCGCTAGGTGAAAATAACTCGGTTCAGTCACGGAAAGGACTGAACCTCCAGTTCAGCTGGCGTTGCATCCGATATGTTTTAACTGAGGAAGTATGCACTGGCCTCTTACGTGCCATATGTAAGGGAGGAAAATAATGTACTACGTCTAGAAAGCAACTGGTGTGTAAGGGGAAGGTGCTGCTTTGCAGGCAAAGAACCACCTCCCCTAGCTGGTTTATCCGCAGCAGCACTACCATCACAGTGCCTTCAGACCGGAGCCCGCATCTGCTGTTCCCTGAACCGTGGGTCTGAAAGACAGTGACATGAAGAGACGAGGCATGGCGGGTCTTAGGACTAAGGCTTATAAAGAGATTTGGGAACGTGCACAAACTTCGAAGCCGCTACTATTTTAAAATTACAGGTAAAAAAGAAGTAGATATGATATGACAGAGTGTGAAACCTACTGCTTTTCTGCCAAGTTTTGAGTTAACTTGGCTATGTACTGCTGTGTGTTGACAAAATGTTGGACTCTTCAGTCAAACTCTTTCTTACCCTTGTTAGCCTATACTTGCAGTGTAGTGCTTGGTGCGTGCATAGTTCAAGGAGGCAAAGCGCCAACCACATAGTTTCCAAAATCCTCAACTTGCCCCCAATCCAATCTCCGCAGCTCTACGGTGAAGGTGGGTGCGGCTCCAGGTATGAGAGCTGTGCCGTCAGCCACGGCTGAGCTCTCCCCATCTGTGCCGAGTTCAGAAGTGATGTACCTCCTCCAAAGGACTGTCAAATGTCTCCCCTGACCGTGAGCTGAGGGGAAATGACCCTCCACAGCTCTTTGAGACAGCCCATAATTCATATAATTCTTTTATCTTAATACGGACTATTGTAGTACCGAGGTTAAAATATTTAACGAAATGCTTGTGATTGCCTAATAGTTTTTTTGCCTGCGTAAGTGGTAATACATAGTTAAACTAGTATTGCAAAATAACATATGTCTTATGTACAGCACTGTCATGGATATGTTGTGCCAATGAGTAAAATTTTACGTCCAAGCACTTAAAATGATCAAATGCTATAGTTAAGACTGTCATACTGTTTATGTAGCGCTAAAAAGAAAACAAAATACAATTTCAGAGCAGACAGATTTTTTTCTTATAAACACTCCAAATAATAGGTTGGTTTCAACTAGACTTCCTGACTCTTCGGTGATTGCCGCATTCGGTATGAATCTATCAGGATCCCACGCATAATCATGTGTTTATTATTATAAACACATGATTTCTATGTATGTTCTCCACAAATATGTTGGACAAAACATAGTTTACCTTCTTAACTGGTACTATATGGTTACTTTCTAATTCCTTTAACTTCAGTTCAAACTTGGTTGAATAAAACGTGCATTCCTGTAAACAATCTTTACATCTGTAATGTGACAAGTTGATTTTATATGACTGTTTTCATACTCCAGACGTAGCAAAACATTTTCAAGGCAGTATGTGTTGACAATATACAGAGATAAAAATCAGTTAATGACAAACTCTAAGGTGCAAACTTTTAATAAGAGCAATGAATCATTAGAAATTATTAGAAAGGGAATAGCAGATTTTCTGTCTTTTGAATGAAGAAGAAATGTTTTTATAGAGGTATATGCTTGAACAAATGGCTGGGTGGGGTAGAAGAATTCCTCACGGGCTTCTGTGGCTTTTGCTACACCTGGGGTCAGACTGGGTCCTTTTGGCTTGGAAGGGAAGGAGGCATCTTGGGGTAACAAGTATCTTCACAGCATAGCAGCTTCCGCTGAAAAGTTACTCAAAGTTACTTACACTTCTCTTTAAAAAAAGATCTGGGGGGGGGTCGTCGCTTAACTACGTTGGCAAGGTTCCTGTCTCCTAACACTGTGCCTTTTCCAAAGATCCTCTTTCACCTGACGGCTTGGTTCTGCAGTGTTACGTTTCATTGGCTTTAGGTGGGTTTCTTCGTTCATCCATCCTTCTCCCCCCCCCCCCCCCCGCCACATTAATCAAACAGCACATGAACCTTTTTTTTTTTTCAGAGCAAATGTCTTCTACAAAGTGTATACTTCTACAAAGTGTAACGTTGCCTTGCTGCTAGAAATAATTATTAGGTTTAAAATAATCTGACAGCATCCTGCTGTGTATAAATTAGGTTTGTTCTCTATTAAGATTAGTTAGCTGGCACCCATTCACTAGCACGTTACAAAAAAATGATCGCAAGTTGATTGCATCCGGTTATCTGCCTTTTTTCTTTTTAATGGGCTTTTTGTTGCTGTGCTGTCACCAAGGTTGAAATAAATGTGTGCGAGTCGTACGTTTCCAAGTTCCTTACAGCCTGGGGAGATGATGTTGGCTCTCCTGTACCATGAAAAGACTTGGAGGCATAAGCGTTTGGAGAAGGGGAGAGGTTGTCTGCACTTAGATTTCTGAATCTTGTGCACCTTTGGTTTTGGCTAATGGGGATATTTTCTGCTCTATGGCAAGCAGTATGTTACCACTGAAGTCCAAAATGCCAGGTATAATTAGCTCATGTGTTTAAATAGGTGGTGTTATTTTTTAACTTGTATGTACTAGCCTGTTTTCATGCAGAAGTACATATTTTACCTGGGAAGAACGCTGTGTGAATCAGAAAAAGCAGAAAAATTATTTAAAGTTACGTGCTAGCGTTTAAGATTTTAGAAATAACCATGAGGTCTTTATTTCTGTGTTTACAATTGATTAGGGTTAGAATTTTAAAAGCTTAATGCTGACTATAAGTGCTTTACAGTCAGTCACTGAGAATTATGGGCTTGGCATGACTCACATTTTTGTCTTTCAGTATATCCATTATTGTTAGATGCTGAGTAGTCATTGCACATAGATGACTGATTTTGGGGGGTATTTTACATTTTTACATGTTCGGAAAAAGACTTCATTGGAGCAGCTGCTGGGTGAGTGGGGTAATTAAAGAACTGTACTGCTTTTATTGAAGTTGACACATGCTGCACATTCCTTAAAACTCAGTATGTGAGCAGAACGTTTCCAGGATTTATTGAAGTCAGACACCTAGAGATACTGGGGAGCTTTTAATAGTAGTAAAGATAACTTCAAGTTTTACACCGTTACATAAATCTGTCTTTAAGAAGAGAGCTATTATTGCAATACATTGCTCGTGTTCTTCACAGTTTGTGCGTGTGTGTGTGTGTTATGTATGCACACACACACCTACGCACAAATGCTTAAGACCTGAGCACTTTTATTTGACAGTGATTGTATATTCTATTTAGTACTTACTCGGAAAAAAATAGTGTTGTAATGCTGACTGAGAATCTTAATTTGCTTGGTGCCAAAAGAAATCTGCAGTTTATTGATTTTCTTTTTTTCATTTTTTTTCTTTAACTGAAATGCAATCCTGCTTAGTTTGAATTGCAGCTCTTAGTGTGCGAGTGTCTTGGTGTAGCAAGTAAGGAATCTTACTTAACGTAAACTGAGGCTTGGTTTCATTTTAACTAGTATGGTGAGTGCAATGTCCCGCATGCGTAATGCTTTGCAAGTTGTGAAAAAATAGACTTGTAATTACAACACACGGTGCCAAACACGTTATACATGAATGTCCCCAGAAAGTCTATTGAACAGATATAATTGCCAATATTGTAATTTTTAGTGATCTTCTAGATACGATCTTCTTTTTCTTTTCCTTTCCTTTCTTTTTCCAGTGTATTGGAACAATTTTACGTCCGTTTGAGCATGTTCAGTTAGTTTGCCTGTCCTATTAACAGTTCATGTCTTTAAAGCATCTTTGATATTCCGTTTTTAAAGTTATAATTATGCATTTCAGGCAGAGTTAACAAACACGCAAGTTTCAAGATCAGAACATTTTTTAAACCTCACTTTACAGGTATTTTGTTTACATGGCCCGTGGTGCGGAGAACTCTGCCAAGTACGCTCCGCTCCCGTGGGTTTCAATGAGAAGCGAGCGCTCTCAGCTGCACGCAGCTTAGCACACAGCAGTGTCGGTGTCCGTGCTCGGTATAGATACAGGCACAAGGTACTTTCCTGAAAGAGGGGGCAGTCTTGGAAAATACCAGAGGGACAGATTCTTCTTTTGAGTGACCGACCCCAGAGCCTGACCAACACTATCAGAAACAGCCCCACCTCTTTCAAACACAAGCGGTGCCAAGCGCACGGAGGTTGAGCAGGTTCATGGCCCTGCGGGGCGGGGAGCGGCGGTGGCGGCCGTGGCGGCCGTGGCAGAGGCAGCCCGCGGATGAGCGGGGTGAGGAACCAGGCAAGGTACTGGAAATGTGCCGTTTCTTCTTTTGTGGATGCTTCCAGTTTACAGTGCTGCCGTCTCCGTTACCCTGCTGAGAGAGAAAGTCTCAATACAGTAGCACAGTGGCTGGAGGTGCCTTTCCCAAAATCTTCTTTTTAAATAGCAGTAATTAAGTCACAGGCAACTTTCACCTG